TGACGTTCAAACCTCGCGAGAGGAACAAGATAGATAACAGATACAAATGTATGCTAGCGCAGTCGGATTACCTTTTTCTGCTACAATAATAGAAAGAGTGACTGGGATTGGGAAGCTCAGAGCTAGGAGTGAGAGGCGCAAAAGACCATCTTCATCCGTCTTCACTATTTTAGCTACTGGCAGTGTGGATGTGCCAGGCCTGTCTACGAGCGGGTGCCGTTTGCTCACCTTTGTAATATGCTGCCTTCTGTCCCAGAATCGACATCTGAAATAGACGATGAGCCTGGCCGCTACCAAACGACCATCAGACTGTGCCAAGTCAATCACAAACAGGCGCCACGGAAGAGATAGATTTGTCGCTGGAAAATATCGTCCTTATTCCGAAAGCCTCTTCTGGGTTCAGCATGTCGGTCTCGTAGATCTTAAAGAGCTTCGTGATGCTAGCGAAACCTGGACGCTCCACAAGATGCCCTTGGCGCTCAGATCAATTCTAAAAAGACACGATATGCTTCGTGAACAGCAAAAAATTGCTGCCACGAAGTTGGTCCTCGGGGCCGCTGAAGGCGTCGTAACTTCGCTAGCTTCAGCATCGGATTGAAGGAGCCGACATCAACACGCTCTCAGACGAGGGAGAGACAGAGCGTTCCATATCTGCCAGCGCTCTGCGCCTGATTCTTTGGCAACCGCCCTGTCGCTCTTTTACTGAGAAATAGAGACATCGCAAGAATTTCAAAGGCGAGACGATCTTTCAGCAAGCCGTCTAAGAGGGCCACATCTATTTTCTTGCGCCGAGTCACGTCGGTTGATGACCCACGAGCTCGAGACCTTGACGAGCACACTCGGCTTCGCCTCGCGGTGCGCTCAGGTTCCTGCGATCTGGATCTCCTCAGGAAGATTAGGCAACTTTACCAACGTGGAGAATTCAACCCAGGCACATGTTTGGGTAGCCTTCACATGACACCCCTCCATAGCCGCCTCCCCGGCGAAAATGGAACATACACCAGACCTTCAGCGTACAAGGTGCGACCCATTTGTCACCGCTTAATCAGGACTATCCACTCCCGATTACCGTCTGTACAAGCAATGCCGAAGTCGTACTATGGATGTTCAAAGAGTGCAGCAAGTAGCCGCAATGGTTCACGAGACGAGGATATATCCAGGACGGTCTTAGTGTGTTGGATGGCGCCTCTCATCGAACCAGGTCAGTCGATGTCGCGGTATAAATATAACGCGGAATGAATCAAACTTGTGAATGCGTTATTGGATGGGTCGACCCTGTTGTCCTAGGGCGACCCTGTTGGAGATCATCTGGTTCCGGACCACGGGATATTACAGAAGCCATGGCACGAGCTAGAAGCGTCCTCCGCCTTGCCCAGCATGACTTAGGTGCGGTGCAGCGGTAGGTCGATTACGACTCCTGCATGGCGGCTCAAGCATCAGCCTCGTTTTGTGTCCGCACCTCAAGCACGCTATTTCGCCCCCATTTCACCGCCCCCGCCAGACCTGGGACACGTTATATGGCTATATTAAAGAGTGGCCGGGAAGGCGACCTCAGCCTGATCTTCCAGTCGACCTTCTGCGTTTCCTTGTCTTTCTTTTCAGATAATGTCATGTCAACCTCCTTGGAGAGTATTCCGAATATACAGGATGGCATCGTTCGAGGTATTTCGACAAGGTTTGACGCCTATGGCACAATACAAGACCCTCCGAGAGCACTGTCGAACTGACCTTGGCGACCACTTGCAGTAAGTGGGAAATTTCAGAAGATCTCTGTCGACGCAAGTGCATTTCTTAGAGTAGGTTGGCAACAGAATGATCAGTTGGCAGGTCTTGAACTAATTTTTTGGGGGCAGACTCAGCCAGAGCAAGGTGTCCAATTTGTGTAAGGCGCTCACTTCCCCGGGGGCTTTGGAGCAAAGACTTGACGGGTGTGGTCCAGCTTCGCAAAATGGGAAGTCTTCCAGAATGACACGCACCTGAGAGAGCTTATGTGCACCGAATGGGCATATCCGTCAATGCTGTGGACAAAGGTCTGTCACCTAGCCAACGGCTACGCGGGCAGAGCGCACGGTCTTGACAAGGACCAGAAGACATCGGTAGACAGTATGGCTCTCAAGTGACCCTTATCATACCTCCGGTTCTAACAAATCATTCTCCAGCTTCGTGGTTCCAGTTCCTGATCAAGCAGTTGAGAGGCGGCGCCAGCGGTGCTCAACAGATATATGCCTACGACTGGTATGAGATGGGCTTTTTCATATATGCTCTGTCCAGCGGGGCTTCGGTGGCTTTCTGCATTGATACCCCGGCAGTGTTTCAGAACGGACTCCTCGAGAGACTGAACTCGGGAAATGGGGATCCCCCAAACGAGGCCATGGCATTCTTGCAATGTGTGATTGTTGCAGAGATATCGAGACTGTACGATGTCTCGGTTTGGACTCTGAGGGATCAGATCAGGGATATCGAAAAGGTATTGACCACAATGTGCCCTTGATAAGACAGTCTCGCTTACCGTTGCTCTGGGAATCCCAAGACACGATCCGCCGCTCACTATGTTGACTCGGTCCTCGATTTCGCTCAATTGCACGACCTCGCTCGACACACCATCCATACTTGCGAAGTGCTGGCCGTGGCTGTCGACACCATCAACACGCTGTTGGGTGACTACCGTTCCGCTTCGGGTAAGCTCTGTCAATGTCGGAGCGCCTCTGGGCCTTCGGTGCAGCCACAATGCCCTCACAATGAGATGTCGTTTTGGCTTGGACTGCTGCAGAATTTTGGGCGACGGGCTAAGTCTCTGAATGAGAGACTGTCGAACGAGATCAATCTGGTAGGGCGTGTGGTTGCTTCCTTGTAGTCCGTCTAACGCAGATAACCAGGGCTTCAACCTCGTGGTCCAACGAGACACGCGGGAAACGGTCATGATTAGCAGGATGACGGTCGACATCAGCAGCGCGGCGCGAAGCGATAGTTCATCGATGAAGACGATTGCAGTGGTTACCCTTGCTTTCCTGCCGGCCACATTTGTTTGCGTGAGTCTTTCCATGTCACCAAGATTCAGAGCATCCCTCGACAGGTAGCTAACGGGCCGCGCAGACGATATTCAGCATGAGCTTTTTCACACTCAACGTGGACGATGCGACAGGAGAGAAACATTGGTTGATCTCGGACCGCTTCTGGATATATTGGGTCATCACGATGCCGTTGACTGTTTTAACTCTGATTTGTTGGTGGTATGGCCAACGCAAAGAGGAGAAACGCGAGAGGAGCAGACAGTCGAGTTGGAAATCTACAGGGCCATAATCCAAGACTGTTGACGGTGTTTCCAGCGTCTAGGCTGGTGGGCGTTTGATGTCACGAAGCAGCTCATTGCTCCAAGGTTGAAGGTTCGGATCAGTGGCTCGAGCCGTAATGAGGTCGTTGATTACTAGCTACAGTATCTCGCTCCCTAGCTAGACACCGATAGGTAGCGAGCGAGGGAGGTCGTTACCTCGCTCTATATGTACTCCCTATTTGTCCATACCTACCGAGCTCGCGAGCTACCTGCCTACTCGCTAGGTATCTAGCTACACCCCTCGACCCCTAAAGCACAGCAGCTAAACCGCGACTTCTCCTTCTCCCATCACTCCTGCAGAGCCTCTACTGGCACTTCTGCAAAATATCTCGTCTATCACTTGTTGGCACCGCCCATGCCCCTACGACTATATGAACCTTATGTCGTTATGAGAGTCGATGCCCATGTCTCCAATGCCCATCTGTGCCTCCGGCCTCCCTGAAGACTTGAATGAACAGCCATGGCTCACGATGTGTTGAACTCTGGTCGGAATGAGGTTGTGGCTGAGTTAGCCGGGAGAAGGAGTCGGTCGTCTCAAAAGAACAAGTTAGTTGCAGTATATCTCCTACGAAGAAGCGGATGGCGGCCGATCGCGAGCACACACGTGGAATACTTTACATCCTGCATCTGGTGACCTGCATTGGTATTGGAAAGGACATCTACACCAAATGGGGTCAAAGGTAGGCAACACCAGGAACACTTCCAAGACGCCACCGAGGAGGCCTTTTGCCTGAGACGGGTTGGCGTTCGACTCTCTGACACAAGCTCGTGCTCGGGACCTCGGAATACTCAAGGAAAACAGGTGGTAGGCTCTCCAACCGCAGAGCTGTTGAGAGCTGCTATTGTGAGGCGCCCTCTCTCCTCTTTTATCTTCATCTCACTATTCGGGACGGCTCTGACAATCGACAAAAATCGGCCAAACAAACTTGAGGTCGAGCCCCTGTTAAGATTCTTCACAGATATACGGAACAAAAGGTGTCTTTCTATTTGCCACTACGTCCAGTTATTGTGTTTGATATTGGTGCTGGTAGCCCACCAGCCGGTGTCCGAAACAGCCTTATCCCATCCAGGAGACCATAGTTGTCGGAAGCATCTTTGTCCAACACTCGAACCATCGACGTCCTTTATCGGCAAGCAAGCAGCAGCAGCACGTACGACTAGCCTCTGGGCTGGTTGAGAGTGTGCCAATTGTTTCATCCGCCTTGGCCAAGGGATTTTGTCGGGCAGAGCAACAAGCAAAACATAATGGCGTATGACTCTTCCTTGGTACCCTTCCAGTCCAGATCCGCGTACCATCGTCACCCAGAGGACATCACCTAGCGAATATGGTGAGTACCCCAGTGCTCGGAGCGGTTCTAGAATTAGGAGCTCTGGAAGTCCTGAAACCCGCAGTCGCCGCAGGCAGACACCCTACTCAGACTCCATATGCTCGAGCACTCTTGAACCTGAAATGCTATATGAGAGACTCGGCGTGAAGTATTGACAACCCGACAATGTCATTGATATCGAACTTCAAGACGTACCTGGCGATTCAAACTTTGATCCACCAACACCTGCGAGGCAATCCACCGCCAGAGGCTCGAACAGCTGGCACATGCGCGTCACCGCTACCACATTGAGTCTATCGAGAGAAGAAACGCCCTTAGTGTCTGCAGGTACGTCGACCAGGATGCGAGCGAAATCGGTGTCGTACAATCCCAGACTGCAGACACTGGACATAAGAACAGTTACCAGTTTGAATGGATGTAAGTTGCAGTCTATCCACACGTGGAAAACCTCCAGCAGACCTACCTCTGTCGCAGCCACTTACAGACTACGCACCGAAAGCTACAGTATTCCCTAGTAAACGACGGAACGGAAACAGGTATACGCCACCGAGAGCTAATTTGCAAACTAGACCTTTGCGATGACGGTTTGAATCACTAGATCCGAATGAGCGCAGCCTCGCATCCATCTTACTAGGCAAAGTAGCCGCAGAGCCTGAGCAGGATCATACTACGGGCAAGTTCCTCCAGGCGAGAGTCGATCGATGTGATGGGCACAATAAAAGAGAGCCCGATAAATGGGTCATTTTCCTGTCCACACCCTATCTGGACAGTGGGAAATTCGACCGGGATCCCGATGCTGACCTCGAGTTCCATCGTCCCCAGACACTTTTCGAGTTTGTCTACAAGGATCAAGATACATCGTTACAAGATGAAAAGCAGATGCTCAGGACGAAACTGCGCTCATCAGACATTCTTCGCGTGCACAGTCTGTGGGCACTGTTCAGTTCAGGTATTGCCACCGTCGGCGTTGCGGTTCCATCTGTTTTAACAGTCGGCTAGGAACCCTGGTCATGAGTTCTCCAGATCCCGCTGATGAGATGCTTGGTCCTTCTATTCTGATGGAAGACGTTACAGATCAGGTCGAAACTGGTGAATTGCGGATCATTCGGCTGCTTGACCCGACCGATAGAACCTTTTTCATTCCCCTGGGTCAGTGTCGGACCTGGTTTGCAAGCGGACCTTTCTTGATGTTCACACCCGACTCCCATACTACTTTCATTAATGACGCATCCGGCTTACGATGGACCAGGCTAAGATGGAAAAAGTTGTGGGACTCTGCGCTAGAAGATTTGGAGCCACACCGGAGATGTACCATCTCAGTGACAATGACGGGAACGAGATCACTGCTGCGGAGTGGCAGCAGTTTATCACGAACCAAAATGACTTCGGCACTATGGTGCGCGTTGGGCTGTACTCGAGTTCACCGCCGCCGGAAGCTCCGCCGCCACCCAGCAGTGACCGGGACCTGCCACCTAACAACGATGGGCCTAGGGGTCGAGATGAGCTTGTCGTACGACGCCGTGAGGTCAGCTTGGAGCGTCTGCGGTTAAAAAGACCGAGACGAAGCCGGCGGTCAATCAATATAATAAACCGTGCACGTGGCGTCACGAATGAAAACGGAAGACCGCCCTTTCAACGCAAGACAGGTGCATTGGATGAGGAAAGACGAGTCAGGCGAGGCGAGATCAACTTGAACGCGAAGTTGCCGATGTAATCCAGCTCGACCAGCACCATCTTCCTTTAAGACACTCTGATGACGCTGGCACAAACCACATCGATGATTACCCTGCAGACTATAGAGAACAGACGACGGTCCTCTCGGTCCTGAAGGGAGGCAGCAGGGGTGACATTGCAGACTCACCTTCCGAGTTAACAGAGTCTCCCGCTGATGAAAAGATCAATGTTCAGAAACAGCGCGAGCTGAGGCTGAAGGAAATCACTCGCCGCAGGGGCACCAGAGACACCACTCAACCATCTTACCCTGCAATCGACCCTGTCAGAAATCGCAGCTTGAGGAGCGGACAACGAAGGTCACATCATGGCGATTCATTGGCTTTAGTCCCTTACGGAGGGCCTGACGAAACGGCTGGCCAATTGAGTACAACCTCTCACAGGACTGGAGCGCAGGCGAGAAAACAAGGGCGTGCTCTTAGAAGGATATAGTCGTCATCATCACCAGATCTTCTGCCAGGCCGAGATGATAGAGCTCTCATCATCAAGAAGGATGTAATTCTGGAAGAGCAAGTCAATTTTGAGACATGGCAGACGCAAAGATGGAAAGAGCCAAAATATATTATCCGCAGTATCCCCAATACCGTCATGAGCGCTGCTGCTGGCCGTGATGGTGGCAGATTTGACCATATCTTCTACTGTCCCAAGGACGTTCTCGACTCCCTAATAACGCCTGCGGGTGATTCTCAACGTTCTCTGGACACGGATGAAAAGAGTGGAACAACAAATAAGGTAGTCGAGGGACCTGAAGCACATAGATCTCCCTCGAACTCCCAGCCCCCCTTGCAAGGCGAGGAGAGACAAAGCAAAAAGCCGAGACCGGCTTGGAAAAAGGATCGGAACGAGGCGGACAAAACACAGCGCCCGCCGCCGGCCTGCCTTCCTCTGGCCTATTGGTTCTGTGAAACAACAATACCGTGGTAAATCTGCTCTCTCAACTAACAGAGTCACCAGGGATCAATCAGGCAATACTGGCGACGTGAGGAGCGCGCCACTCAACGATGCTGGCAGAAATCAAATGACCGTAGGTGACACTTCTCGTTTAAGGTACTAAACTTCGTCCTAGCTCAAATCGATTCGAATCTCACCCAAGGGAATCGAGTCCAAGCTCATAGACTCGGTGAACCCAGTGAGAAAGAGGCGCCAATCTATAAAGGTCTTCTCGAATCGTCAAGGGACGCAGTCGCCGAGAGGGTCACCAGCTTCTGCGGAGCTGGTCCATCAGTGAAGGCCGAAGATGAAACAAAGCCGAATCTCGACATCTTTACCCAAGTGAGACTGTGCTTCGATATCTTGGTTGAACTATTGGAATCCTTCCTCCCTCAGGACTATCCGTCCGTGGTACTTAGGAAGTTCTGGTATGGGGTTGATGTATGGATTCGGGGATTGCAGCAGTTGATGTCAGCAAAAGATACACCTCCGAATACCACCACTGGCACCAAGCGTCGTCCGGATCCTGTCAAAGCTCCCGATATCTACTATGTTGTCAGGGCCGACTGGGCCCCTCGAAGCTCTCAACTGACGGAGCTAAAGTACCCTGACCGCGATGTAGACCGCGGCACTCAGTGTATAAATCGGCAGTCATACACGCGTCTTGAAAATGTGCTTCAGCACTTGCGGGAGGTGCATTTCACCTCAGCGATGGCATCTGAGAATGACAATTCACGAATGGGTTAGGGCAGGGGACCAAATCGACGCTTTTCAACAGCAATGTGACGCCGTACGACTAGTCGACACCGTCCGGAACCACTGCACTTACCTCCGTACCATGAAGAATGAAATCATCGCAGGCACCTGCCAGGAGGGAATGTTTGATTCCTCAACGTACCGATTGCCCAATGGCCTGGTCAGGAGCTTCGAGCGCATCTTGATGATGATAGCATACTCTGGCTACGCCGTGTCTTTTGCCTATAAACCTTGCCAAAAATCACCCCGCGGATTCCGCACATTCGTCGAAAGAGAACATATTAGCCACATTGTCGAGCTTGGGTCCGGAGCTGAAGAGGCTTTTTGAGGAAGCCAGAGCCCATTTGATGCTAATGAGTCGAGTCAATGAATTTTCCAGCAGCATCCAGTATGATACTGTGGGTCCAGAATACCTCCTGATGTTGCTGCTGGCCGATCTCAAGGACAGAGCCACAAGAAGACACCCACTGGATCTGGTTGGCCTATATTAGAAACAGTTTGACCATTTGGTACGTATTCTCCCAGTCTCCACCAAGACCATTGACGTTCATCTGCTTATCATGTTTTGTGACTTTCTCATTTCGATGTTTGAAGACTGATGAGATCAACAATCGACCCCGGCGCCGTCTCTTGCAAGAGATACAGAATCTCGAAGAAGAAACAGGAGCCGTCCAAGGTGTCATGGAGCAGGCCTGGACGATTCCAAATAGCCACAACGAGACACTCGCTCCCGAGGGATTTTTCGCGACTACGACGACAACACGTCAGGCGCTGTTTCGAGACTTTGAGCGGCCCCTTTTCCACAAATCACGGCGGGAACAGTGGAAGGATAGTGACTCATACGAGCAAATCCTGGACGGTATACCGCGGCTCCAATCCCTGTTGGTTCAGAGCGTCGAGATCCAGCAGGAGGACCATGGGAATGCTATTCTGGTTTTCACCCTTGCCACCGTCGTCTTTCTGCCCATGTCTTTCGTTGCGGGATTCCTCACCATGAATACACAGAACATCCGCAGCCTTGGGGAGGGCCAGTGGAACTTCTGGGCAACCGCGTTGCCGGTGACTGTCTTTATCGTCGCTTTGTCCGTCTAGATTGGATATTGGAGCCAATCACTGAGTCTCCGGTTCCGGCAGGTTAAGGAAGAACTGTTGGTCACGCGAGGTCACCCAGACAACCCAAGCCGGCATTCTATGAACAGGTACAGAAAGCTGCAGGATGATGAATCTGGGGTGAGTGGGCCAAGCAAGCTATCTCCATTGACCAGCAAGCTTGCAGATGCCGTCCACCACCTGCGCTCGAGAGGAAGCGTGAGGCGTTTGAGGATGAACCACATTGGGAAACCAGAGATGAAGGGCAACTATGAAAAAGGTGATAGTTTCCGATCTGCCGATGCACATGTCCACCCCATTCCCTCCGCCCTCTTCATGCGCTTCTGACCCCCTTCTCCCCGACGCACTGATTGAGAGACTTTCGTCTGACGAGCTTGGCATAACGGACTCGTGGGCGTTAAGGATTCTGCCTCAAACAATAAGTAGAGTCATAAGGATCCAGAAGTTCTAGTTGACATATAATCTTCGTTCGATTGTGTTCAATCTGGTGTGGATGGGGCTACAGTAGAGCATCACGGGACAGACCACGCAAAAAGGACAATCGCGACGGCGAACCGAATAATTGCGACTGATGAACTAGAAGTAGCGGAACAAGTCTTCTGAATTTGTACAATCAGGGCGGTTTAAAGCCATGACCATTCATTTGTGAAGCGGGCCCACATTTTTTGCCTAACCCCCATCTTCATTCAATATGTACTGCCTGGCTGCCGTACTCGGACCTTGGCTTCTGCTCCACTTCCACGGCCCGTATCCGGCGGAGATGGAGAATAAGCCGAGCTATCGCGTGACACAGGGCGGCGAGGCGGCACCAGGAGGGAGTGAGGGGGAAATAAAGCCTTGGAATGACGTCTGTGCTGTTCTCCTTGTGGTTTGGACAAGGACCGTGTAACCCTTGCACAGAGGGGGCCGGTGTGTCTGCTGACCTGGACCTGGGATATTGCGAACGCCCGGCCTAGGCATTCTATAGGGATTCAAGACTCGGTGTTTTGAGCGAGTTTGGTGATCACGCAGCAGACGGAGAAAGGACGAGTTGGAGGGAATGTTTACAAGCCAGACCCTACATGCATACAAGTAGAATTCCTATGATCCAGAGCCTCTCCAGGTACAAGTGAACATGGAGAAGAGACGCCACTGAGTCTTTATGGCCATGGCGACGCTTCATTTCATTCTTACTACTCCAGGTTCAAATATGAGCTTTCGCTGGTTATATGTAGCATTCAAGAGACACGCATGAACGCTTCCCTGGTCTCATCCCGAGTCCTCTTCAAGAAGGGCATCACGCTAGTTCCACCGGTGCCGTGTAATTGTCTCGTCACCGATGCATCCTCGTCCGTTTTCTCAGCATGTTGTTGCGTTGAACATGCCGTGGCCAGGTTTGCCCCTTTACGCTGGACGATGTATTGGGCAGGCGGGCTCCGGGATGGCATGACAATGTACCTGGCGACGATCTGGATATGGCTGTTTCGGAGCTGAACCACGGCGGCTACGGCGTCATTGTACGCCGCCTGAAGCTCTGAGGAAGTCGTGGTGTGCGAGATATATTCCCGCAGGTTCCTCATTCGTGCAACCCTGGCGAGAAACTCGCGGTGTGGCCGTGGCATGTAGTTCCTCATTTCCTATTCCTGGTCAGCGGCTGTAGAACGGCGTGGCATGCCGAGGAACGCACGTGTAGATACCCTTTGGGACCAGCACCTCCATACTGCGACACTGGACGGCGAATGTCACCGCCTCCCGTCGCATAATGATCAACGGCAAGAAAAATGTCGAAGAGCTGGATCAGCGAGCTTTGAGCGTTGCTCCCGCCGCTATACTGTCTCCATTGCCCTCGACCCCCGCCCTCGTCGTAAAAAACACCATTTGGCAAGCCAGCCGCTGCCATTCCTTTGGTCCCCGCACAGAACGGACGAATATTGTGATAGAAAACCTGTGGATCATTTCTTTCATGCATCCGTTTCAGCAGATTTTCGATTTCACGAATTCCATCAGTCAAAGTTTGAAGACAAGACAAAACCAATGTGTCATTACGGTCATCCACGGCCTGGATGCAGCGAAGCATCGTCAGGATAAGAGGGGCACCCTTCGCTTCGATGGCGGTGGATATCATGCAGAACCACTCTTCGTCCTTCGTGTTGGTGAATGAGACCAGGGAACGGAGATTTTCTGGGCTAGTTCGATCACTGCCCAGAGTTTGCAAACCAAAATTCCAAAGGCTGAGTGTCGAGAACGTTGCGGTGGGTGGCAGTCCTAAATGCTCCGACACTGCCAGAAAGGGGCATGTGAGCTGTGGTGGGAGTCGCTATGAAGATCATCAGCTACATGTCAGGCAGTGCCGACGACTTCGAAGCCAACCTCAGCGGGACGCTCACCACCCCAGATATATGCGTGAGTCAAAAATCCCAACACCACGTATGCCCGCCGCCACTCTGCGTCTGTGTGCAATTGGCCAGTGCCAAGGATTGGCAGCTGGTCGATCTTTGACCGGGCTACGTCGTTCGCTATGAGATTGGGAAGGTTCTTCGCCAGTGCCTCCCAAGGCTCGTAGTAGATATCCGGTAGGCGTTGTAAAGGATCGGTATCAGGGAGAAAGCCATATTTGGCCGAGATACCGCATCTTTGAATAAACTCTTCAGGCGTTTCTCTCATCTCGGAATTGGTGATTCGAATCAAGCAGTCCACTAGGACATGGGTTATATCAAGTAGAGAAGATGATGGACTTGTATGTCTTTTCGGAGAACATTGGCAAGATGTCGGAGGGCATGACCACCTTTTTCACTGATTCAGACATCATCGTCATCATCGACTAGGGCATTCTCGCAACAAGGAGTCAGCATCCGTCGGAGGCGGATACGGATGGGGTGATACAATGGTTGCTCAGGAGAGAATTTTGACCGCATCTTGATTGGTTGGGGAGTCCCCGTGAGCCTCCGATAGTAGAACCTTGCTCAGGGTAGGTCGCGTTCGATGAGGCATATACTTGGTAGTGAGCGTCGGATTATGGAAGCAATCTGGAATGGTGAGCCAGAACCTACTGTAGCCCGTCTGGGTATACGGAGCACGTGATTGGCAGACAATAATTGGATGGTACTTGGTCTTGGTAAGTACCATGTTAGCTGTCAGGTCGGCTGTCCTGAAAGCCACCAATCATCCAGGCTTCCAGCCAAATCTTGTCCCTGTGCAAAATAGCTTTGTGCCAAAATCGACACTTCTTCGTTTATAAAGTCAGCAGTACGAACTTCGGAATTTTGAGTAGAATCTCTCGGAAGGAAGGCAGTTGTGGACTCGGCATCTTCAGCCCGTAATGCTATATTATGATGATTGAGACGAGTGGGTTTAGGTAAAAGACGGCTGCGAAGGACTTCTCCGGAGGAAGATGATTGACGATGAGAGGTGAGGGAAGCACCGAAGTAACCGTCAGCATCCTTGGGGAGCTCACTGACAAAGGAGGCCTCGATAATCTCCCAGAACAAACTCAGATCGATGGAGATGCGGGAATTTGGAGGTCTTTGAGATGCAGAATCGTGGAAAGAGTTCGACACGACCTTTTCAAAGTCTTCAATCTTGTCGGCCTGTTGAAGAAGTCAGAGAATGTTTCGACAGGCTGCGAGGATAATGGAAGACGGGATGCCCACAAGTTGATTAACGTAAGGCCAAAATGAGCCCAGATCTCGAATGAATGAGACGCACTTTCTGAAACTGCCCTGCTTCGCTGTCCTCACTTCGTTGTCATCGGAAAAGCTCTGCTGCAAATAGATTGTCGCAGCGATAGCGGCGCAGTGCGCCAAGAATGGATCAAACTGTCGGAATCCATTCTTCTCGCACAAGTCCAGCATGTGTATGACCCATTCTGTGTGAGTTTCCGTGAGATCAGCTGTGTGCTGAAGAAAGACCTCTGGTACCATCGTGACTCTGAAATTCCGAAGGCGGAGAAACAACAGAAGGGGATGGTTGAGCAGACAGAGGATAGTGTGGTAAAGAATCTGGAGCAAAATCCAGGAGGCCCAGAAGTCACGGTGCTGCTCGAGCTCATGGTGATCTTGATTCAGAAATCGGGAAGGCCGAAAGCGATACTTATACGGCAATCGTGTCTCGACTTCCATGAGTTCAGCAGTGATCTGGGAATACTCGGATTGTGGAGACCAGGCAGGAAGGGTACCGACGTTTCCACGCCTGTTTGCAAACCTGACAGCTCTCTGCCAGACTTGGCTCAGCTGGACGACATAAGCGAAGATTCCATGATCAGATGGTTCAGTAGAGGAACTCGGACCATCCGGCTGCTCCAGGGCTGCATCGGTCATTTGAGAGCTAATGCCTGCAGGAGGCTGTGGTCTTTGAGGAAGCTTGGGTGTCCTTTCATCCTGAACAAACGAAAATGTGCTGGACGATACTCCGTAGAGATTTCTCAAAAGTACTACGCTCCAATAGCATCGTCGTCGCTCGTCGTCAATATGGTCATAGTTCAGTCTTCGATGCTCTGAAGACAGTCCCGAGGATGAAACGAGATCAATTGCAAGCGAAATGTAGGTGCTAGCCCGTGGCGTATTTCCGTCTGGGGCCATCAGCGACCGCAGCGACAGGTAGTGTCTTATTACACTCACGATTGAATTCTGCTACGCTGAGGAGGCATAATGCTTGGATCGTGGAAAGCTCAATAGGACCATGGGTAACTCGACGCATGATCATGTCTCTTGCCGGAGTTGCGCGACTTTCGAACGTGCGTGATAGATCTGCCTGACTGACGGCGGAGTTGTCGAGGTCAAAGCGCGACGCGAGGGCCAGCATCGCTAGTATTAATTCGGGGTCTCGCGAGCTAAAAGTGGTTGTCAGGTGCTCAAAGGAGAACAGAGGAAGTGGCTGACAGTTACAATATTTGAGGTATAGCTGGACGAAATAGCCGACAACACCCCTCGGTGGAAGTCTGCATATGATCCAGATCAGTATAAGCGGGAGCAGCGTGTGGTTGGGTCAGAATAGCGTACCTGTCACTAGGAGATATATCCGCGATTCGCGTGTCGAGATCAGTATGCGATGTAGCAGTCTGAGACAATGTCGATGGAACTGGCTGGACCACTGAAGTAGGTTGACGCCTCCTCATCAGTCAGTCTTAGCATGCATAGCGTGAGCTTTAAAGTTGCAACATACTCCAAGAGCTTTCGCATTTCGGCCACTTGTGCTTCGAGGACGCCCAATCGGTCGGCCTATGGCCCGGGGTCAACGCAGGTTCTTTTCGATGGTGCTTCGAACCGCATCTTGCAGGTGGGAGCACTCATTACCGTGTCTTGGTCAACTTGAGGCAGAAGAAGGGCGGTATTTCGTGGCGATACCCAGTTTCTCATATCTAAACCTTGCGGGGCCGATATGCGTCGATCAGCCCCAGTGGCGTAGGTACAAGGCTTTCCAAGACGTGCGCAATGAGAGCAGGCCGGCCTCTCGCCTGTACATCTTGACTTTTTGCGGCTTGGAGCATGGATGAGCGTGCTGCGATTGGTATCGAGGAGCGAGCTCAACTGAGCTTACCGGCATGGCTCGCAAGCCTGACGCGTTCGTTTAAAAGGCGGCCGTACCTCGTCCATGATCAGGGCGTTCAGAGTGGTGAGCACTTCGTGAAGGTTCCAGGAAGCATTTTCAGCAGCATCCGTCCAATTGGCAACAGCAGCGTCAGGATGAGGATGTTCGTGGTCCTGACGATCATGGCAACTGGAAATGTCGATGTGCAAGCGATGTGTCCCGGAACATAGCAGACTGCACTTTGGTTGATAATGCGGTACCGTAGCAGCGGAGTAAATGACCTCCAATGGGCGGTTGGATCCTGATTGGCTGTCAAAGCACCACCTCCCATAGCCTTCATTTTCCCTCGTTCTGCCTCTGCAGATCTCCTCCTCTTCACGTTCAGCGTCCGCAGCGGGCCCCTCGAAAGTAGGTTGGCTCTCACTCCTCTCTCCCCGCTTTGCCCAGTTCCAAAACGTGTCAAGTTCTCCGCTATTTCCCTGATTCTTTCGCTTGGCTATGACTTTTGCGTGGCATGATCAGCATCTCCGCATTCGTTTCTTCACGAGCTTCTCCGTTGATGTCACTGTCGATCGCTTGCCAGAGACCTTTAGCAGCTCGTGTTTTTGGGTCGCTGAGCTCGCCGCTGGCGAATGACTTTCTATAAAAGCCTGTCGTCTTTCTCTCTTCAACACATTTCTCTTTTCTCCTAGATGCGTGGTATTCGCTTCGTATGGGGCAAGGTAAATACACCGCAGACGTTACTCACCATGCTGGCATTTCCTGCACTCTTCCTCGCGTTCTGGCTTCAGTCTTGCTGGGCCCAAAATTCGTGTCCAGCTGTGACCCAGCATTTGACTGATCCTCCGTATGACAACTACTTCTACTCGGACTGTCACAGTGATTCGCAAGTGGTGGTCACCAGTCCACTCCCAGACTCGAACCTGACTATAATCGGTCCTCGACTGATCATTGCTTGGCCCGCTGGCAACAGCGGAATTTGCACCTTCTTCCAGCCTCAGAATGGCCCCAATGGATCGTTGGCCATGGAGCTCGTCAATTCCACTGTAGGATCCCCATTGGGTCCGGTCTACAGAACGTCTCAGGGCTCGGCTGTTCCATTTGTTGGTGTCCAGGGAGTCATCTCGTTTAACACCTCCGCCATCTTGACCATTCCTATTTTGGGTAGTATAAGGACTATTCGAGACTTCACAGAAGGCCCAAGTCTTCTTCGTCCGGTCATTCAGGATGCCATTAAAGTCACAAAGTCGAATGGTACTGGGGCGACCCTCTCGCGACTCTGGCTAGACAATGTCACCACTACCACTTTCACCATGGTGCCGTACGAAAACCAAAGCTCCAATATTACAATCAACCAGCGGAACAAGACCATTAGCTTTGGGGCAGGATTCTATCTGTTCTCCGCAAGCTTCAATTATCCACAACTAACGCAGCTTCCACAAAGCCGAGTTCTGAACGCCGCATCGCAGAGTCTGATCACTCAACAACCGGATCAAACCACATCACTTTCGTTTCTCTCCTACACTGAGAAATTGCTCGCAGGAGCATGGAGGTTTCTCACCTACTTCGGCCGTGATAGCATGATCAGTGCGTTGCTTCTGGAACCAGTGTTGAGCCAAGGTAATGGTTCGGCGACAGAAGCCGTGATTGGGGCGGTTCTCGAACGTCTCAATCGGAGCGACGGATCCGTGTGTCACGAAGAGACCATAGGTGATTATGCAACCTACCTGAACTTGCAGGACAACATCACAAGTACTGCACCAGGTTTTACATACCCCATGATCGATACAGACTACTACCTCCCGGTTCTCATGGCGCAATATTTTAACAGCAGCCCGTCTCGCATCAGTCCTCTCCTGAGCCGGAAGGCCGGTTCAATCGATGTCCAAAATCGCAACCTGACATATCAGGACTTGGCGCTTATTAATGCAGAGAAAATCATGAATGTTACTGCTGCATTCGCTCGGAACCAGACGTTGACCAATCTTATCCACCTCAAGTCTGACCAGATTGTCGGACAATGGCGGGATTCTACCTATGGACTTGGAGGAGGTCGGATTCCCTTTGACGTCAATACAGCTCTGGTACCTGCCGCCCTGCGAGCCATAGGCCAATTAGCACGTACACCAGGTGTCTTCCCGAACAATACAAGTGTCAATACCACCTCATGGCGCACATTGGCCGACTCACGGGCACAAATCTGGGAAGAAAATACACTCCGGTTCTTCGAGACAAACGTCACGGCGTCGACCGCCCGTTCTCGCCTCGGACAGTTCGTGGATTCGGCTACATTCTACAACGGGCCGGCCAACGCTTCGTCGCTACCATCCTCAGGCAACGTCACGACCTATTCGATCGCCTTGAATGGCTACGACAATTTGTCGTCGGTAAACGTGCAGCACAGCGACAGCAGCTTCCGCGTGTTCTTCGTGAACTCCTCATCTTCCACCCCCGAAGCAGAAGCGCAGGAAACACGGTTCATCAACGCCACAGCAAACAGTTTGATCCGACCGTTCCCAGCAGGGCTGATGACACCACAGAGCATGATTGTAGCGAATCCAGCACTTTCAGGCTCGGAGGTACTGATTGCAAACTTCACCAACGCTGCTTACCACGGGTGCGTCATATGGTCATTTCAACTCTCTATGATGGCGAAGGGCCTGGAAAGACAGCTTGCGAGGTGCAACACCAGCACCTCTACGAATTCGACCTCCGCTGCGCCAGCCTGGTGCAGCGTATCCTCGGTGTACAACAACGTCATCCGCGCATACAATGTGCTCTGGGATAGCATTGAAGCCAACTCTGCGCAGCTACAGGGCGAAGTGTGGAGCTGGACGTTCAACAACAGTACGGGCAGCTTCGTCACGACACCGCTGGGTGTGTTGCCACCTCCGCCAGGAGTCGGTGCCGGAACGGAAAGCGACATTCGACAACTCTGGAGTTTGACCTTTTTGGCCGTGAAGAGAAATGAGAATTTGCGATAAGTGATGACGACGAGGATTAGGGATCATCATGGGCTGGAAGAGCCGAGCATGATCCGTGGTGGAGGTGAAAGGATGTCAAGATCAGCTACCCAAAGGCTTCGTGTACCTCCTGTTAGTCAGTAGTAATGTGGACTTGGGGGTTTTTGCAAGCTAAACGAAAATCTAACCAAGATGCGGTCGGGAAATTCTCGCGGCATCAAGGCCATGCTTCCATCTCGTTTTATTGCCCAGACTAGGTCGCCGATGGGAAAGTCTTCAGGCAACAGTCTTCCCGTGCCCGATTGCTGTTGAGGGAATCCCTTGACTCGACGTACGCATCAGCCACTCCGGATCTGCTCAAGCTGTCCAAAGCAAGAACCAAGAAAGTAAAGCTATGTTTGTGACAATTGCCTCTTTGTGGTTTCGATCAGAATGGCAGGACGTCCTAGAGGATACGGGACTTGGGGGTGAGGGAAAGACACACAATGGACTGCAGCCTTTCCTTTCCAAAATCACAATCTAGCCTGCAACTTCTCGACCGTCTCGCCCAGAGCATATTCACATTTTGCCTTCTTGCTCCTAACCTTCTCGAAGTCGCCCAAGTTGACCCCTCTGGCCTCGACGGCGGGGTTATAGCCGAGGCCGCTCATTTGGGCGATCTGGGCATCGCTCTCCTGGATGTCGGTGTTCTTCCGCCCGTCGGCGCGCTTGTACACGGTGACCACCACGGCGCCGCCGAGGCCCAGGTTGTGCTGCAAGGCGACGTCGATGTCCTTGACTAGACGGCCGTTGTTCGCCCAGCCGCGCAACTGCCACGCGAGCTCGGCGCATTGGGCGAGGCCGGTCGCTCCTGGTTGAAATCGTGTAAGCCCATCTATACGGGAAGAAAGTGGAGACGAGGAAGGGTGTGGGATGTAGCTTACCTAGCGGATGGCCCTTTGAAATTAGTCCTCCAGAGGGATTGATAATTGGCCCTTTGCCGCCGTACGTGATATCCCCGTTCCTCACCATATGATGTGCCTTTCCTTGATCACAGAACCCCAGGCCCTCCAGCAGAATCAGTTCGTTGGCGGAGAAGCAGTCGTGCAATTCACACACTTTGATGTCTCGGGCGGACACACCTGCTTCCTCCAGCGCAGCTTTGGCCGCGCGTTTAGTCATGTCGTAGCCCACAAGGTCCATGGCCGAGCGCGAGAACAGGGTGGGAGAATCCGTCATAAGAGCTTGTCCGGCCATTAGGATAGCGTGAGACTTGAGTTCAGGTCGCGAGTCGAGGAAGCGCTGAGAAACGATAACGGCAGCCCCGGCGCCGTCCGACGTAGGCGAGCATTGGAGTTTCGTCAGCGGATAGTGGATCATGGGCGACTTTTCGATCTCCTCGAGGGTGTAGACGGTGTTGAATTGGGCATAGGGATTCCGCGAAGAGTGCTCGTGCGAGATGCGGGCGATTTCAGCAAAGTCGCGGGCTGAGGCACCGTATCTGGGCGGCAGTCACGGGATATTAGTGAGCAATCAACCAGATGAAGGGGAAAAGGGGGTGTCGGCCTTGTGGCTTTTGTGTGAGAGGAAGAAGTGGCCATTGCTGAAATTGGTCCCGGCCACCAATGACGAGGCCGACGAGTTTGGACTCACTTCTCCATGTACTCCCTTCCAGCGTTGGCGAAGAACTGCGCATTTCTTGGAGTGTCATGCTTTCCCCTCGTCTCCTCCATCAACCTGGTCTCCAGGCCCATGGGACTCGGTCTATCATCCCAGATACCTTTAATGGGACCGGGCTTCATGGTCTCAAACCCAATCACCATTACGACGTCCACGATGCCACCTCGGACCAGCGTCCGCGCCAGTTGCAAGCCGGTAGATCCCGTTGCACATGCATTGTTAGTGTTGTATATGGGGATGTTGGTCATGCCGAACTGATAGAAGATGCGCTGGCCAGAAGTGGTGTCGCCATAGCAGTAGCACGCCACTCCGGTCTGCACATCGTCATATGTGATGTGGGCGTCGAGCAGAGCTTTGGTGCCAGCTTCAAAGCCTAACCTAGCCGTTGGTCAGTAAGGGGGAAAGCTGTTCTTTAGAGAGCAGAGGCTTTAAAATCCCTTCTTCCCTTGGACGAAGCCGTTTTCATGAAACTTACTCGGGATAGGCGCGTAGCCCTCGGGGCTTAATAAATTGCGTGAGACCTACGCCGAGCACATAGGCGTTCTGTTGGAAGGACATGGTGGGCGTCTTGGTGTGTCTAGATACGAAGATGAGAGATTTGACAGCCTTGAGCAGAAACAGCGGTTAGAGGTGAGCCTGATATATCTCACACGCCGAAACAATTCGTGATTACTATGCATGGAGTACGGAGCAGTGGGGAGCCCCACGGGAGGAAGTTGGGAACACGTTCGGTAAAGACATTCACATCCCAGTATACAACAATTGGTCCCCCCCTCATCTCGACTTACCGAGGCTTAACTGGTTGCATTACATCCACCATACCCAGACACGCCGACGCCGAGCAGTGCTATGCCGCTCGCCGAGATGGCGGTTGACAAGCTTCTAGCACTGCATAAACTCGGTTCTAATTGTACAGAGCAATACAGGGATATCTCCGGACAAGCAAAGCAAAAAACAAAATGCGCCAAACTTTTAGTTGGACATTTTCGGGCCCAGGCATAGGAGCAAGCTTCATTAGCCCAAAAGTAGTGGTAAAAGCATCAGGGGGAATAATAAGACGTAGCCCCGATCTCCTGGTAGATCGATAAAGAAACCGTAAATCCGTATGTCGTGACATCCTGTGAACATGGCTCTTGCCCAGTACCCGATAACTGAGAGCTCAAAAACACATGACGCCGAACACATGCTCCGGATTAAAGGTAAGAAATCTGTTGGTCGTAACCAGATGTATCCTCAATCAAGGAATTCGTCGTCTCGTGGCTTGTCTTCTCATGACCTCTTGCATTCTCCTGAAGTCATGCGAGCATAATGAAAGTGCCTCTCCCGTGCTGGTAACGGGGTACCATTGTAAGGGTGCTGATATGCTCGCTCCGTCTAGAAATCCACAGCAAGCGCATCGGCGATCCATGGGAGGATTATCTAGGATCTTGGAACAAGGTTTGAGTAAGGTGGAACATGCATCATCGAGCTGAAGGGAAGTAGGTTGGACCCCTTGTGAGCGCAGCCAGTATTGCGACTACCTTGATGGCCTCGCTCGCATGGTCGATAGGTTGTCAACTGCCCACGTGAGAACCGGTGGAGAACAAAGACCGGCCGGAGTTTGAAATCGTCTGGCTTGGCAGTATTCCCAAAAATGGCTGTACACCATCGAAAAAATACCAGCTGGGGCTGTGGGAGGCTGTATCAACATCATATTGAAATACAGACGGCGACATGTCCGTGCCGAGAGGCCGTTTCTGGGAATGCTTGATTTGCGGGCCGGTACCGGATTCAATTGTCAGCGAATGGACAGCGTGCGAGGTTGGGGCAGGCGGAGGGACGATCTCCGGTATTGGAGAGGGTGGAATAGACGTGTACGGCATCGAGGTCGAAAGCGCTGGTTGAGGAGTTGTCGGCGGTGCACCCCCCTTCGCCTTTATGGGTCTAACGTGTCCTCCAAGCTCGACGGCACTTGGTTGTCCTCGACTTGATATCTTATCAAGGGCCATGATAGGGTTGTGCAGAGCAATCTCGGCGTGACACCGATGCATGTGGTTCTCATAATGTCCTTGTCGGGAATAGCTTTTCGTGCAATTCTGCGATAGGCAGTAGAAACGATAGCCAGCCGGTGCAGTCCGACCATCGCTCACCGCAGAAGAATGGTCCTCTGTAGAGGTCGGGCTGCCTCCAGCGCAACGTGAGCGTGCACCACGAGCCGGATGTTGTGATACAAATCCCGAATGGCTCTGCCGGACACGAGAAGGAGAGTAGAATGGTCCCTCCCTAGGTCTGGTGAAGGTAGTTGGGATAATTGGAGCGTGACCAGATGCTTGAGAACTCGTCCAAGAAGATCCTGACAGACGCCGGGTACTGACTTGCATTAGAACGTCCTGCCTCCTGGTGTTCCAGCTTTTGTCCGTCCTAATCTGCACAATGAAGTCGAAAATTTCTTGCGGAGGGGTGTCGAATACATTCGCAAAGTGTGTTCGGAATAGGGCAGACCGTGACAGCTCCTGACGTATGTCTCTCAGCGTCCGCCACTCATTGTCACTGGCTTCGAGTATGGTACGGATGATAGGTGAAAAAAGGACGAAATCCGGATGACCGATCAGCTTGTCAATTTTGGACGAGATGAGGTCAGTCAGCACCGTGTCGGAGAGTCCTGGGGGAAGAGGAGAGTTGGGTGGCTGCAGTTGCCATGGCCAATTGACGTGAGAATTGTTGGCCATGGTCGTTGGTCCCAGGCAATGAGAGGGCAGAAGGCGACGGAGCGGGCTCAATAGGGAGGAAGAGGAGGTACGGCGTAATCGCCTGCGGTCCGAAATCGACCTGTCGTGGTGCAGGAAGCGTAATGAGAAGCGGGCTGCGAAAGAACGGCCGGGGTGGTCCCCGTGAGGGAACGCCTTCGATCCAAAGTCGTAGCTAGGGGGAGGCAGCAGCAAGGGCAATCGAAGATGGATATTACCAACAGAGATTAAAGACAGCTAGGGCAGGAAGCACAACAGAGGAGATTGTGGTTATTAGACTGAATATCGATTGGACCCGGTGGGTGAACAAGGAGCAGGAGCAGAGGGCGGGCAGAGAGGCACAGATTCGCAACGCAGTGATATATGGGTGAGAACGCAGGTACAGGAAGGATGGCCAGTGCCAGGCAGCGGCGAGAAGGGGAGACGTGCATTGTATATGGCACAGGGCGGGCGAAACCAAGTAGACAAGGCAGATACGGGTATCATCATCAATGAGAGTGGACTGCACAGAGAGCGTTATGGTGCGAGCATCAAAAGAAGAGGAAAGGAAAACAGGTCAAGGTGAGAATCCAAAGTGTCATTGTTTCAACTCGCTTTGGTAAAGACTGTCGAACCTAAAGTGTGCCCCCCCTGCACCCCCAACCCGACATGGGTGTGCCATGGCACCAACATGGGCATGCCCATGATCCCTACAAGTAGACATCAAGCGACAGCGCCCAACCCGGGGCTGGTCAGCACCCCCCCACCCAGTCATGGCCATGGGGCTCCGGGTGGGCTCTAGGGGATCCAATTGGGGGCGTTAGTGGTGTGTCTAGCTGTTGATTCGTGGCTCCCACCAAGCCCAGGCCATGTATCCCCTGCAAGCTGCGGCCTGCGCCTCCATCGGCCATCTGGCGCTCTCGCCTCAACCCTCTCTGCCCACCAGATGCGCTCAATCCATCTTCCTGCGATTCGAGAGCTTTGATGCCACTCTGTCCTCCCGAATGACACGGCCAATCACTCTCCATCACAACCTCTACCGCACCCATTCCCGCCTAGGTAAGCAGCGTTCCTGGTGCTTCAGGTGGACCTTTCTTTTAGGTGCTCTGCTCCCGTTGCGCAGAAGCAGATGTGGGCATGAACCTCCCGTACCTCTGACCCGTATGTATATCCCAACAGTTGACGAAACACACACATACCGACTTAGGCGCTACCGAGTACTATTCGCACGGAACCTGGTGCATCACACGGAACCTGCAACTGGTGGCTGGCGCTCCAAGCTGGATGCACTGATACCCACTCCGTACCTACTCCGTGCCTCACGTACCTACGAGGCACAAAATGGCGTCTGCCAACCCGTTAGTCGTTGTAGCAAGAACACCAGTGCTAGGTATGTCATCGCCACCCCGGTTTGCACGAGTGTATTGACATTTGACGCCGCGAAGGTTCCTTTGAGAAGATGCGCCCAATATGCGCCCCTTCTAGGTAGCACCAGCATAGCTACGGGTTGCCACTGCGTCCGAGATAACCAAAGCATACGGGAGTATGTACCTCATACACGTAACAATCGTTGCCGTTGAGGCTCGCAACCTGCAAGTCTGGAATCGTGGTGTAGGCGAACCCCCTGACGACCAGATTTATCGTCATCGCTCGTGCTACCAAGGCCCACCTCACAAATGCGCAGCTCGGCAAGGGCTGATGCATGATCAGTGCCGCAAACACATTCGAGGTCAGCACCACCAGGACTCAACAGGCTTTGTTGGTGCTTGGGGACCTGCATTCAAGCTCCAGGGACTGGCAAACTGCGCCGTTCAGTCTGGACCGCTGCAGCGCAACTGTCGCGCAGCCTCTCCACCATGCAGGTCTGCCACCCGCAGCGAAAGGCGATTGCTCGGCCCAGGAGCTTGTCGCCCATCCCTGCCGTTTAAAGGGCACCGCGGGTGAGAATCTCCAGCTGCTTTTTGGTCTGGGCCGCGACCTCAAATCCCGCTCACATCCGCGATTCCAATCACTCACTGCCACGCTTCCCTGGTCCAATTTCGCTTATAATGGAGATCCGAATAAGTTTCCCACCCTTCCCAGCTGAGGGCACCTTGTCCCTCGACATCATTATTTCTCCTTGTCCCCAGATTATTCTTAGACTTCGGAGGCGCGGTCACAAGGTGAGCTAGTTCAGAGACTAGCTCCAACAGGTGTGTTTCAGGTTTCGTCTCTCCTCTATATCATCAAATCGAAGCGGAGGAATTTTTGATGGCATCATCAGTTTGCCTTCCATCAACGACTTTTTCCCACCGCCACTTTGGGCGACTGCAAGCAAAGTTCCATGCCCTCTGGTCATCATCCATCTCTGTCGACAAGGGCTATTGGGCGACTGATGCCGGCCTCAGACGAGGAACTGCATCTCGCCTCCGCAAGTCGACCCTTCAACAAAGGTCGACTTCCTTTGCATACGGAGTACGTTCCCGCAATCCCGAGCTGTTCGACCACATCATGCCGGCCCAGCGGCAACCCAGACTCTCCCCCCAGGCACTCGGCGATTTGAAATCCCCTGGCGAGATCCAACCCGCCATTCTAACATATTTGTTGCCGAACCAGCCTCTTGCGATATGGTCATGGCGGTACAACCACTCATTAACATGGAAATGCTACAGCGCCTGTAAGTGCTACAGGTCCCCACCGACTTCGTGTGCTTTGCCCCCATGCCGGCAATGCGAGTTTTGTAAAGAATATTCAATTAAGTGGAGGAACGTGGGCTAAAAGGGCCTACGTCTAGCTGGTATCTTTTACTTGCAGCATGTGCATCTTGATCTACAACCTCGCGGCAAGCATTCACCTTTTTCTGAATGCACTGCTGTCTATCCAAGCTAACCTCTTCTCCGTGTGTCCCACTCCTGTTCATTCATGATTTGAAGTTGGCTAAACTCAATATCCTCTCTGGGAGATGATCGAGGCATGTCATTGAGTCCTTGTGACATAGCATGATGCTGTGCTTGATAATTAGCCGGAACAAATCTGAAGGCCTCCAAAAGAGAACCGCACGCTATCCCGCCGGTTACAGGCGCTCCTGGAGCGCCTTGACTGAACATCCCTTGGCTCATGCTGGTTTGGAATTCATCTTGTTCAGCAGGGAAAATGATGTCGCCGATATCTCTCACATCCTCGTCGTCAGCGGTCGCCGCCCCGTCTTCATTGGTGCCGGACTCCTCGGACAATCGTCGCCGAGTCAAAGGTGAGTCGCTCGCATTTGTAACCGCGGAAGACGTGGTGTCGCCCTGATTGCTCAGCTGGGGCGATGAATCTGGCACCAGAAAATCTGCTGGATGCTGGTTGCGATACTCAGATTCCGCATGACAATTGCGCATATGGTTGCTGAAGTTCCCAGCATTCCGAAAAGCGTCATGCCTGCAATTCGTATAAGGGCATTTGTACCTCTCTCCTTTCGGTGCTCTTCCTTTCTTCCTCGGGTTGGAAGAAGTTTGGAATCTTCTCCTGCCATTCGCCGTAAAAACAGGTGTTGTGCATCTTGTTTGGCCGACTGGGCCCGGAACTGGACTGGAGATTTGGCCCACAAGAGGACTGCTTTCCTCAGGCGGACGAGGAACCGACCAACTACATGAACCGCTGAATGCTCGTCCTTCGTACGCGGATGGTGCCAAATGGTTCGGAAACTGATTTTTTGGCGTCGGAATTGAGGAGATGATGTCGATATAGTCATAGCGTGAATGCTCGAAATCATGATGGTCTCTTAACTCGTTGATCAGGCGCCACAAGTCAGGGGGGAGTCTGCCGTACTTCTGGGAGAGGCAGCGGGTAAGGAGGTGGTGAGCAGTTGAGTACTCTCGCGGTTTGTACAACTCAGCCCACAGTCCGGATGTCAGGCGGAGGTAGCTGCATACTGTGTCTCGAAAGGCTGCAATGTCGGGTCGACTGAGAATTGCGGCCATGAGAGTGTTTGACGTTTCGTGATGTGAGAGGGATGTTTGCGAATCGTCACTTAAAAAACTGACCGGGGTTTGTTCGAGGTGCTGTGACCAGGTTGGTTGCCGGAATGCATGTGCTGGATCCATCGGGGTGGCGATCGCACCATGCGAATGAAGTCCTAGTTGGTCAGGATATCGGATTTCCAGCTCCGAAGTTGAACTGTGGATCACCCGCCCGACGGGCGGAGCCAGCGACTGATGGTCTGCATGGGGCGTCGAAAAAGGAAACCCGAATTGGTCCATGATCACCAGTGGCACGAGATTACAACCAATCAGTCAGCGCGCCAAGGAGAGAATCGCACTGCCAGGAAGGACGAAAAGGAAGCCCGACCAGCGGCCTGGAACGAATTGATACACCAAAGGCAAGGAAGGTCAACGAGGACGAGGTGGAACGAGAGACTGTGAAGAGAAGAAGGGGAGCGGGTGCATGTCTGGGAGGTTAAATGAAAGTGACCGGCTGCTGGATCTGTGCAACACAGGATGTTGAAGGAAACGAACCATTCTTTGCGGAGCGAGGTGAGTTGATATTGACTCGAGCCTGGGGCAACCCGTAGATGTAGACTTGATGCCAGGCCAGCATCATGCCCATGTCACCAACCCCGATCTAGCACGTCCAAGCCACTGGTGTGGCTTCCCAGGCCCGATTTGGGAAGTGGTGGGATAAAAGTCGTGGGATTATGCGGCTCTGGACCTCTTGGGCCTCCTAACAAATCGTAAATGTGGCGCCATGGTCATTTCCTGTGGACAGCGACAAAAGGCCTTGCAATAGGCCCCGTATTGCACAGCCTCGAGGGCCGTGAGGCTTCGGGCCTCGCGACTGGATGCTGTGGCAGACATTGACTCCACAACTTGATGAAATGCCGAGGTCCAAAAGTCAAAATCAACCCCCTGTGCGCCAAGCTGACAATAAAGGATAAGCTCTTCTGTGCAGGCCAATCGCAGGCACGGCGCCACACCCCGCTTCCTCTGTGGCTGAAGCCTTATGCCAACTCATGAATGGGCAAGGAGATGCGAGGTACTCCGTACAAGTAGAGAACCCTCTACATCATTTCACCTCAACCAAAGTGAGCAAAAGACCTGCGAGAAGAACACGCCTCACTTGTTGTTAGCGAGACGCTCGAATCAATGGGGAAACCGCAACCAGATGCGAGAACAAGCGAAAAGGCTCTGTGTGGCTTGTCCGCCGGTGTCAAGGCCACCGAGCAGAACAAGGTGGCTGTGCTGCCAGTCTGACCAATTGATCCACTTCGTGCCATCGACTCAACGGCCCGGAATGACCGTGAAAATGCAAGTCCACGACGCCAATGGCACCGCATCATTTGACGCCAATTTTCCGACATCAATGCAGCCGTGGAAAAGGATTGGACCATCTATCTCAAAACCCGCCTAAAGGGAACTTTCAGGCCCCCCCAACCCAACAAACTCCTTGCAGGGTGCTGTACATACATACAGCCTGATCGCGCTCTTGTTCGCGAACCAGACCACTTAATTAACTCACCGACAGCGGCATTTATCTTTCCCGAGAAGGGCCCCGGTGAACTGGTACCTCGGATCTGCTTTCGTGCATGGAATCTTTGTAGGTTTCGGCGGACCCTGTCTTGCTGGCGGGGAGACTATGATTCCGGGAAGCCGGACATTGTTCCAGAAGGAGGAACCCCCCTTCACGATTGCTGCTGGGTGCGCAGAGGACCCAGGTACACGTTCGCTTGTGTTTGCCCTCCGGGAGGGGGGGCTTTTGTGACAAGAACTCTCCCCCGTGCAACGGATATGTACCATAATCAAGCACCACGTCGGCTGATTACTGTGTGCGTATGGTGTACGCACCTCGCGCCTACACAAGCCGATTACGCAATTCCTCGGGCGCTTTGAAAGGATCCATGAGGAACAATGCTGGGACCTGCGTGCATGCATTGGTGTGCACTATCCCTGTTGGACTTTTGTTGCATGGTTCTCGATCTATGCATGTAGGCCACTGCGTGCGCAATATTCGGTTGATCGTCTGCAGCACGTTCCTCGTTCAACTTCTTTCACTTTACGTGGCATTGCATTGCATTACATATCGATTCTCATTATAGGTCTTCAACATTCCAAACCGCACCAGACATTGCATCATACACGATTCGAGCCTCATCCCAAAGGCTCATAGGTCGCAGACCCAAGGCTCACGGCTTGAGGTGTACCTCGTAAGGCTCCCAAAAGTGCGACTTTCGGCTGGCCTTTCCGTTTCCTTTTTGCTTTCCCACCCTCCCTCGACTCATCTTCAAGCCGCCACCATTTCCCTTGCGCTCGTACCGTTGCCCCATACATCAAGAATCCTAAATATATGCGCCCTCCACCGCTTCTATACATATTCCCTGTCGTGCTTGATGGACGCGACGCAGTGCTTGGCGTTGCCTTACATGATGGAGTGCCCCCGATATAGATATTTTCCCGGCCGCCTATTTGCTGGGGCGAAGACTTAGGCTGTCGACTTGGCTTTGAGCCAGGCATCATCGAGACCGTGATGGTGAGCCTGGTTCTCAACCCCTCCGAGAGGAGACGGTGTGGCCGTTTCAATGCAATGTTCCGAAAACCTTAAATTAGGCTCTTGGCAGGCAAGACGTAAGGCGCATCGCGTTTAAACGTCGATCTGCTCTCTGGGGGTGTGAGTGTGGGTGTCAATCGGGGTGAGTGTGTCTGCCTTGGAGCCTGGGTTTCAATTCGTGTCCCTGGGAGCAAAAGTTGCCGAATGCCAAGATGGACGATGGTTAGCTAGAATAGCAATGGGGGCCGTTCGGTACCAATCTCCTGGAGTGATCTCGTAGATCCCTTGGTGTCGAATAATTAATAATAGTGTTCAGAGGGAAAAAGGACCAGTTTGGACCATTCCTCTTGGCTTGAGATCTTATGTTCGGCTAATGGACAGGGTCGACGTAAACCAATTGGCCCTGGAGTAATGCCGGCGGGCGGAAGATGAATGCCTGTTGCTTCCTTGTACCAGTGCGTTTCGTGTCCCTCTTCCTTTTCCGGCCCGTTGAAGGCTGCGAGCCCGATATTATGTCGAGCGGCGTGGAAATCATGCTTTACGGCAATTGCGCCGTATAAAACGTCGTCGCATCACTAACCATTCCACTTACGTCTGGCAGCTGGCCTTTACTTCGCTCACTCTCCAGGATCGCCATGAGTTCCATTTGTTGCTGGGAACTGAGGCTCTGCATCGCATAATTACCCGCATTGCCTACTCTGGTAGCTGCACCATGATTACTGCCTGGTACCGCTCCCGTCCCCGTAGAACTAGGAGGCCCTTGCGGACCCGGTGGAGGGAAGTATTGTCCCATATACCGACTATACTCTTGACCGAAAGAGGCGAGGTATGGAAGCTCATCGTAGTTCATATTGGGAGAGCCGGTTATGCCGGGGATCACCCCTGGGATTAGAGGTGCAGCTGTCCAGGGACCACCCGCATCCGTGGTGGCGCCGGTGGTCGCTGGGAAGGAATGTGGGTCGAAGCAAGGAAGACTGTAATGCATGGATGCAGCATCGATGCGGGGAAGGCATGGATGTGCGGTCACGGGGATATACTGTTGTTGCGGGTTGGCCAGGGGTTGTGTTGATGTAGGGAGCATCTCCGGTTGAGGATGGAACTGGTGTTGCGTCGAATGATCGATGTAGCCGGCCGCTGCGTTCTTGAAGCTGTGATTGTTTGGTGCACCGTGTACGCTGTGAATAGATTGCGGGGATTGGGCTCCATAGATCGAGGTATTTGTTGTACTTGCTGGACTGTTCGCAAACTGAGACGCAGCGGACGAACTCAAATCCTGGGTCGCCGTGGAGGAGACATAGTCTGATTGCGACGCGGGTGATTCCTTGCTATCGGCTTCGTAGGCCTTGAGACAGCCAAAGACGAGATTTTCATAGAGTTGTTGAGCGGAACGCACTCCCGGCCAGCGGTCGGCGCAGAGGTCGATCGCACTGAGTGCGTCTCGGATGTGCATCTGCACCTCTTCCAGGGGATGCTGTTGACGAATACCAGGATAGGATAGGCACCAGAGCACTGTATTGAGAGCCATGAAGATGGCCTGGGTGAAGATCCAGGTGATGTCGATCAAGTGCCCTTCCACTTGGCGTTTCTGGAGCTGGATGTTAAAGGTGGCTGCAGAGTAGCATTGCTGAGCTGCGTAGAGGGATGGGCTGGGAATTTGAGGTGAAGGTCGATACATAAATACTATCATTGTGTTTTTCCGGCCAATAAACCAGGCTTCGCTCAACCCAGATCCCTCGTCGTTCTTCGGACAATCACTAACCCAGTTGTTGATCTTGGTTAGCATCTGGTGAAACCACGGGTCTTGATCGTGCATCGGTGCTTCGCGCTTCTTGAGATACAGGGTTCGCCTGATCTCGGCCTGGAGCAACCTCATCTTGAAGAAATGTATTGAGATACATTTCTTCATGATCGCATGGTGACCCGGTAACAGTCCGTCCGCACTGATATATTTATCGTCGCAAAGCTCGAAAAAATTGACGTTGATGTTGTCCACAGTCACGCCAAAGGCGCTCGGTCTTCCGAGACTGTGCGCGAGACCGTACTCCATGGAGGTTATGATCCAAAACAATCGCCGTCGCATGTCCACTTCCAGAGCATTGGGCCGGGCGCCAGAAGGCGGTCGATGAATCGTCTCTTCTTCACACAAGCCCAGCTCTTGACATAGCCTTGCTGCAATCCCAACCACCCAGTATGCTGCTGTTCGAGTTGGTGTGAGCAGTGAATATTGGGCGATGAGCGCGAAGCACTGAAGCGTTGACACATCCATCTTCTGAACAGCGCTCGATAAAAAAGGTAGGGCAGCCAGATAATAGCTGTCGGCGAGTCCAGCGTATCGCGGGTCCAGCTTCTGCATGCTAATTGCAACAACAAGACGGACCTGAAAATTGAGAGTAGGATCGGTTGAACCGTCATACACAGCCTGGAGCTCTTTGCGGAAAGAAGGTTCGTGAAGAAGTGGGAGCATGTATTGGGCTTTAACCATGTAAATCTCGACTAGGCGATCCATGAGATCACGATTTGGGAGTTCGGGAGCAGCGACTGAACTGATGAGAGGATACACTTTCGACGTAGGCTTGCTGCTCTCCTCGTCGAACTTGTCTTTGATCTCTTGAGCAGCATGCTGTGGTACAACGTCCTTGATTGTCCTCCGGATAGAGTTCTGTTTTGCGAACTCCATAACGAACCGGGTGATGGCAATGCCGCTCGAGGGACCTAGGAA